CCCCTTCCTCCGCCCAGCGCCCGCCCCTCCGAGCCCCGGCGCCCCTTCGCCCCTCCCGCCGGCCTCGGCTCGGCTTTCCCCTTGCTTGGGGCTTCCTGCGAGCCCAATATAGCACTGTCGAGCCACGTGGACCGCAGCGGACTGGGTGGAGGCCGGACCGGCCTGAGGGACGCCGGAGGAGGCGACGCGGGCACTGAATCACCGCCCCAAGAGAGGGTCTCTGCAGGAACAGCGGGCGAGGCTAGGGACGAACTCCTGGAAGGCCTAAAGCCCGTGGGGTCAACTCCAGGGACTAGGCGATGGGCGTGCACCGAGAGGACTTGGGTGGAGGTGCCCAGAAGAGCCCCAGTCCGGTGCGCGGTGGAGAGAGGTGGTGATCCCTCTGCGGGTGATCGGGCTGAGCCTCCGTTTCCTCTAAGGGCGTGGGACTTGAGGTGGGATTTAGGGAGGCTGGGGGGAGGGGCACGGCGGAATAGGGATCGCGGACACTGGAGCCTTGGTCCGCGCGGCCAGGACTCAGAGCCGCAGAGCCTGGCGCTGTAGCATCCACATCCCCGCCCTTCCTGCCTGCTCGCGGCGTGGATGGACAGGCAGCCGCGCGGTCCCAAGCTGGGCTTAGTGGGAACCTGAGTTAGAGCGGTCCCCAAAGCAGTTTGGGGCTGGGGATTTGGTTTGGTGATTAGCCTTGCGGTTTTTCTGGCCCTCCTTGTTTTAATAGAGAGGTGAGGCTAGTGGAGACGGAATTTACCGAGTGCGGGTCGTAGATCCTAAACAGTAGGTTTAAAAAAATATTTCTAAAATGTAGGTTATTAGTTCGTGTCCTCTCACTGGGACTATCTCTTCTGGAAACTTTTCCGTGAAATGTTAAGAGGAGAGGCAGGGCGCGCAGGGGTCTTTCCGTTTTTCATCTGAGCCTGCTTCTGGGGACAAACCTTTGCAGTGGAGAAGGCTAGGGCTGCCTAACTGTTCATTCATCGAAAGGAGATTGTAATGTGGGGGAGAATTTGCGGCGCTTCTTCCCAACTGTGTGATCTTGGGTTCATTGGGGGATGTCCTGTTTCTTAGGTCTGGTGCCTTGACGTCCTCACTTGCAAGTAAATAGCCCTAGTTAAGGCGGCGTCTGTTTGCTAGGGTTTGTTGTGCTGAGCAAGTGGCTACAGGCACGCAGAGCTCACGAAACTGTCCTTGGCATCTTCTAAGAGCTCAGTCCAAGTCGGCAGCTTGAAGGAGGAAGGAGTGGGTTTTCAAAGTGCTCCTGACCTGCCTACAGAGGGTGGAGGCGTTATGTAAAACCCGGGGCAGTAGAATTGATTAGAAGGGAGAAAGACAAAATAAACTGCCAGAAAAGGGAAGATAGGAAGGAATAGAGACCCACAAGTCCCACTTCGCGGGGGGTGGGGGCGTTATGAACAAGGACTCCTTCCTTCAGTTGAGCCTTCCTGGGGCCTTATTTGCTACTTGATTGCCCCTTCTCTCTGGGAATTTGAGAGGAGGGGTCTCCGAGGTGTTCTGTGACCTGTGCTAAGTCCTCTTCCCTGCTGTCCTAGGTTGTTTTAGGTTGCCATGCCTGACGGAGTGAGATTCTTGTCCCTTGGAAGAATCTCTGCGAGCTTTGTTATTTCCAAGACTTTGGTCACACTGCAGCACCTGGCACTCTTCTGTGTGTATGGGCGAGCAGGGCAGAGTTCCAGCCGTGCCAGCTACTGTCTGTCCTAGCAAACCATCTCCCAGCTGCATCTAATGTGGGCCACTTAGATTCTTGGTACCCAGAGACACAGTTTGGAGCAGGCACACACATTCTGGCGACCCTCAATAGAATGCAGCTGAAGTGGTCACCTAGCTGGGCTTCACGGCCAAGAGCAGAGTCCCATGGTTCACAAGACTGTATCGGCTGGCCCTGTGCCTCTGTGACTTGAGGCTTTCTGTGGCTGAGGAACACTGTTTCCTGCTGACTGCAGTCTTCTTCCTGTGGTTCAGAAGGCAGTGAGGAAGTGCTGGATGAATTGATTGTAGTGTTCCTGCAAGGAACCATGAGTGCACAGGGAATCACTTAGGAGAATGGAACCATACTATGCGGATAGAAGGCCGCTATTAATTCTAATGGATTCTGTGGAGGGAGGTTTAGATTAGGCAAATTAATAGCCCCGGGCCATCCAGCTGTTGTACTCTGCTGTTGCAAGCCCACAGCAGCCCTGTTTCCACTCCAGATTCTTAGTGGGGTCCCTAGATGATTTCAGAAATGACTCTGGTGAACTCTGGTGAATGTGCATAAACTATTGCCTTATCTACATAAAATGCGTCTACTTCTGGGAAGGAAATGCAGGTGGGCCCTTTTTTTAAATCCATCTGCTCCCTGTCAGTTACAACATACTTCTTTCTAGCTAACAGGATAGGCCTCCCATCTCCTTCCTTTCCTTCTCTTCTCCTCTTTTATTTTGGATGGGGGGGGGGGGTTGTGATATTCCATGCAAGCAGCACTTCAGACACCCTGGACCATTTCCGGAAGCAAGGGAAACAGGCTGCATACCAGGGGTGGATGTTTTCATTTCTTCTTGTCTGTCACCCTGATCATATCTCCCAACAGGCCCTGCTGAGGAACCACTGGAAGTGGTCATTACTGGGAGTGTCTGCACAGCAGGTCTCCCGGGGAGCCCTGACATGGATTTAGTGCACACTGCCACCTGCCCATGAGTTCAGAGCACAGCAAAGCTATGTACTGATGACCGAGGAAATTGATTTTCTCTTTTCCCTTCCCCCTTGGTTGGCACACCAGAGTGGAAAAGTACTAATGGATTCCAATCCCACTGGGCAGTTGTGCAGAAAAGAGCAGGGTGATAGGGATTGCTGGAGGCTTGCAGGGGCTCCGGCACATGATATTTTGTGTTTTGAGGGTGGTAGTTTCTTGTCTATAAGGAATTCCTGAAGTCTTCTTAGTGGTTTATGTAGAAATGTCCAAAGTGATGGGATAGCTGGAAGGAGAGACTGCTTGTTCCGTTGTCTCTCTCTCTCTCTCTCTCTCTCTCTCTCTCTCTCTCTCTCTCTCTCTTTCTCTCTCTCTCTTTTGTGTGTGTGTGTGAGAGAGACGTTTTCTCTCTTCTGAAATATCCCTTAATACTCTGCTTTCTGTGAGTTTTGTTTGATGTTGTTGTTTTGTTTTGCTTTGTTTTGTTTGCCCCAGCCTTTGATACACTGTAACAGTTGGGACAGTTATTTTAGTCCCTCCATCGATAATGACCCCATCAACATTTAACTTTGTTTGGGAGAGGAATCCAGTTGAAAAGTCCATTTAGGAGTTAATGAGGTCACCAACCCAGCCTGCATAGACAGCCAAGCATCATGTGTCCATCACCGATTGGACCACGGGGAAGAAAATCCCTTTAGATTTGGCACTTGAGGGAATGTAGTGAACATGGCATGTTAACCCCTTCCGATCCTGGGAATTTTGAAACGCTTCTGAGCCAGCGGGACCTGTGTGATCAGCCTCATTCTCAGACCCAGTGTC